GCTCGGCCATGGTGGCTTATCTGCTGTAGTCTGGTTTGTTACTGAAGAAACATAATTCAATATAATTTAATATTAGACCAACTCCATGTATTTTATATTTAGCCACGAATAGTAAGAGTTATTAGTGGAGCAGTGAAGTTCTTATTTTATATGTTGTGCATTCGTACAAATTTGTTACCTCAGGATCACATTTGAATCAGATTTAACTTCCTTGTACTGGAAACAGGATATATTCACCCTTGATGCAGTTCCCAGTTCTCTGCCTCCTTCCAGTTCCTCAGAGTGGCTAACCCACATGTCTACCTAATAAAACTGCCTCCTGGTGACTATCTCCTTGTGGGACAGCTAGGTACAACAGCTGACTTGCTCTGCTAAAGAATCAACAAACTTAATTATTAGATCACTAAAGAATATGAAAATAGGCTGGGCGTGGTGGCTCATACCTGTAATCCCAGCACTTTGGGAGGCTGAGGTGTGCGGATCTTGAGGTCAAGAGATTGAGACCATCCTGGCCAACATAGTGAAAGCCCGTCTCTACTAAAAATACAAAAAGTAGCTGGGCGTGGTGGCATGCGCCTATAGTTCCAGCTACTCTGGAGGCTGAGGCAGGAGAATAGCTTGAATCCGGGAGGTGGAAGTTATGGTGTGCTGAGATCGCACCACTGCACTCCAGCCTGGTGACAGAGCAAGATGCCAACTCAAAAAATAGAAAAAGGAAAATATAGAAATATAGTTTCTATCTCCTAGACAAACCACTATATAAATTAAAAAAAGAAAAAGAGAAAATGAATCATATAAAATTCTCAATTAAAGCTACAAAAGGCAGAAAAGTAGTGAAAAAAACAGGGACAATGAACAGGGCAACACATACAAAAAAGTAACAAACAAGGTAGATATTTAACTAACTATACCAATAATCACTTTAAATGACTGTGGCCTAAATACAACAAATAAATGACCGAGAATGTCATAATAAATACAAAAAGAAGACCCAACATGTTGTCTACAAGAAACTTACTTTAAATATAATAACACATATATGTAAATTGATGAGACAAAATATACTATACAAACGCTAATGAAATAAAACAAGAGTACCTATATTAATTTCAGGCAGAGAAGACTTCAAAGCAAGGAAGGTTATCAGGAATAAACAAGAGCATTAAATAGAGATGAAATGCCACTGTTTCAACAAGATGTAACAATTCTTAAAGCATATGAGCCTAAGAGGGCATAAACTATGTGAGGCAGAAATCGACAGAACTGCAAGGAAAAGAGATGAATCCACAATTATAGTTTGAACCTTTAACACCCAGTATCAAAAATGGACAGATCCAACCATCAGTAATTTACTGAATTACTGAATAAAGAAAATCTAAACTCAGCACCATCAACCAAATGGATATAACTGACACCTACATAATACTTCCTAAAACAACTGCAGATTATGCATGCTTCTTAAACTCACATATTCACCAAGATAGGCAGACAATATTATGGGACATAAAACATGCCGTAACTTTTTTAAAATGGGAGTCATACAATGTCTGCTATCAGACCACAGTGGAATTTAATAAGAAATCAAAAGACAACTGGAATGATATCTGGAATATTCCAAAATGCATGAGAATTATATAACACACTTCTAAATAATATATGGGTCAATGAAGAAATTTCAGGGAAATTTAAAAATGTATCTTAAATAAAAATGAAAACATAATCTCAAAATTTGTGGGATACAAGGAAAGTTATCAGGAATAGAAGCAGGGTAGTACATAATAATAAAGGGGTCAATTCTTCAAAAAGGTATAACAATACTTAATATGTATATGCTGATGGCCAGGCGAGGTAGCTTATACCTGTAATCCCAGCACTTTGGGAGACCAAGGTGGACAGATCACAAGGTCGGGAGTTCAAGACCAGCCTGGCCAATACAGTGAAACCCTGTCTCTACTAAAAATACAA